TTCTTAATTTTAATTAGTAGGTGGGATTATTCCGCTTTGATTGGGGCCACGATTACCACACCTGACGTCATTAATTAAAGGTAATACCTGTACGGGGACATCTAGAAAGATGCTCCGCGAAGCTGTCATCATTATCGTGATATAAAACAAGATTGATGACTTAATTTAAGAAGATGTAGGCTGATGTTCCACGTATATTAGCACTACATTGCTGAAAGACTCCATAATAAACATTCAAACCAGGGGCAAACTATTCAAAGATCCGGGTTTTAAGTCGAAAATAGTTGTAGTTGAGACTTTAATTAATACCAGAACATTACGGTCCAATGGTCACGTGTTGATTTAACATAGTTTACATGAATGGGAGAGTAAGACATCGATATACTTAAAGAGTCTAGATAAATATAAAATAACCAATTACTGACATGGGGGGGGGGGGGGTGGCCATGTGTCCAGTGTGTGACCGTCCATACTAAATATCAGATTGAAATAAGTCCCTGAACGTTATCCAATTCCAAAGGTTGGGAATGAATGAATGAATGAAATGGGGTTTAACGTCCTACTGTTCTGCTCCGAACTGGGCTAATGAAGACGGGCATACGAACTGGACTAATGAAGACGGGTATACGCCATACAGGGAAAGTTTGCCCGGACAGTTTCCAACTGTCAAGGGACCTCGGTTTTCGTCCCATCCGAACGACTATAGCCAGCTGTCCTTGTCGGGCCCTCCGTCCTGGATCACTGACAAGGGGGAATCACGCCGGAAAATCTGGATGAACTTTCTCGACCAGTGCAGGGATCGAACACCAGACCTCCAGGCTAGCGAACCAGCGTCTTACCCACTTAGCCACCGTAACCCCCCCCCCTCCCGCCAAAGATTAGGCGTGGATTTAACATAATTTGGTAAGACAGCGATATACTTAGCTTCTAGATGCATATAAGACAACCGATTAGTGGCTTAAAGATTAGTCCGGCGCCTGCCCTTCCTTACTAAATACAGTGTAGTAATTCAAGGTATTAACGTTGTGACTGTCCAGCGAACGACAGCCACGGTATTAACAAGGAAATATTTAAGTACACTGTAAGTTATCAGATGTAGAAGGGATTACCTTGTATTATAATATCACGAATATTATAGTACATGGGTTACACAGTAAGTTATCAGATGTAGATGGATTACCTTGTACTATAATATCACGAATATTATAGAAGGCTATGAAATGATGCGACTGTCAAAGGATTATAAAATAAATCATTCGCGAAAGGTTTAAGTGATATGCCCTGGCGTATCTAGTGCCACATTTACCTACAGGCTTGGCATCCTGACCAGAACCAAAGAAATGAAATGAAATGGGGTTTAACGTCCTACTGTTCTGCTCCTATACTGGGCTAATGAAGACGGGCATACGCCATACAGTGTGCTATGGGGGAAATTTTGCCCGGGCAGCGGCACTATCGCCTACTCTTATATCGAATTCCAACTGCCAAGGGATCTTTTACGTGCATTCCAATGTTTACACAGGACCTCGGTTTTTCGTCTCATCCGAAGGACTAGACAGCTGTCCTTGTCAGGCCCTCCGTCCTGCATCACTGACAAGGGGAAACCACGTCGGAAAATCGGGATGAACTTTCTCGGCCAATGCAGGGATCGAACACCCGACCTCCAGACTAGCGAGCCAGCGCCTTACCCAACTAGCCACCGTGGCTCCCATAACCAAAGAAGTTGCGATCTGAAGAAGACCAAAATCCAACTCCACTAAAATCGTTTGATCATATGTTTGATCTAAATCTGACCAACAAATGTGGGCTCTAGAGCAGATTAAAGGAGCTAAATCGCTAACATTTGGGACCTAAAAATTGACAAAAGTGGGTCGCAAACCATATAATACTGTAATATGAATGTATATAAACTGATTTACATTCAATGATTTCCGTTTTTACTCCAATTTCAAATCAGTTATGTTCGGCGAAATAAGCCAGCAGTCTCAAGGGTGTGCAAATTTCTAGCGTCTGGTTATTCCAGTCTACATACGCTGTTTGATTTGGTGCAATGTGTCTAGCCTCGTCCCTCGAGTCTCTTCACACAACTGGGACTGAAGCGCATTATGGTACACGATTCGTGTACCAATGGTAAAATGTTTATTTTGTCTTAAATATTGGATATCAGAAGCCCATCTTTTCCGGGTAAGATCACAACATCAATGTTGATTTAAACTGACAAATAAATCGTGTTTTCAATCTTGAAGATTTTGGATGATATTGAGTTAGAGACTTAGCTACTTTAAATATTTTTTCAATCGTTTTCTAAACTGCTTTAACAATCACCAATCAATTGTCGTCAATAATCACAACTCACTGAGCAGATTGGGTTTCGATAATCAACACCAGGTTAAAGTTTATTATTTCAATTTCTTTCAACAACATATAGATTTATTTTAATTTCTTTCAATTTATTTCAACAACATATAGGAAAAGGTACGAATCAATTTGAGGTACAAATCACGTGTGTATTATTATTCTCGTTCGGCAGCCATTTTTATAAATTTAGCGCAGCCTTTGGATTTAGGAGAAGGAACTAATCAATTTGAGGTACAAATCTCGTGCATATTATAATTCTGGTTCGGCATATTCAATTTCTTTCAACTGATTTCAATAACATAGGAAAAGGTGATCAATTTGAGCTACGAAGTGAGGTACGAATGAACTAAGTATGAAACAGCCAGGTTACGAAACAGCCTGCACCCTTTTGACATACGGTACAGGCATTATCAATCAACCAACCAACCAACCAACCAACCAACCAATCAATCAAGCAAGCAAGCAAGCGATCGATCGAGCAAGCAAGCAAGCAAGCAAGCAAGCAAGCAAGCAATATCAATCAATCAATCAATCAATCAATTAATCAAGATATAATTTTTATCGCACAAATAAATTTCAGCCTAAGTGTTTAATTCGCGTAGTCCTATATGTTATGTATATCTCCATGTCTTCACCAGGTCCAGTATTTGATACATTTGACCATTTTCCCCAAATGGACCCCGCACTAGAAAGGGGCCTAGAAGCTCACCAACTTAAGAAAAATTCCAGGCAATTCTGGTAGCAGGGCTGCCAGGTGTGACTATAATTTTTCATATCCTGCAGCTGCAATGTATTCATATCCGGCAACTTCGGGCCCCCCATGCGACTACAACAGGCCCTGATCTTCGCAATATAACATAGAAAATATATAAATAGACTTTCTATGGGGCGAGGGATGACAATTGTTAAACATGCTGTCAAGATAAACAAACGATCTAAAACGATAAATGAATATGTCCCAAAAATGAATTTTGTAATATAAATTATGTGTTCAAATAGAATTCTGACGATTTAAAGTTAAATTGTTTCGGACCATTTAATATATATTTGATGTCAGTTAAACTGGCTTCGGGAGTGTTTGATTGAAGCTAATCCGGTCGAATCTGAATCCGGTTTAACTTATTCTAATTTATTTTCCAGTCTGATTGGAAACCCGGTTCCCGATTCTTCACTATTTGAATGTAACCCTGCAACTTCACCTTTGTTGAGTTTTTATTAGCAGCTCGTACCGTGGGATGTTTTAAAGTAGACCTAATGAATCATTCCCAATTCTCTCCACGACATAAATGACATATCACGTTTTATTGACGAAGCACACTTGCCGAAACGTACGAAACTATTGATGGAACTAATGATAGCTACTTCCGAAGAAGTTTTGCAGGGGTATTCGAGACAGTTTCTAAAATTTGACTGCCGGAAACACAATTTCTTGAACTCGGGGCAGAACTTGATATATTCAATTCACCCATCCTCATCACCTTTTTTAGTCCTACTATCCGAAGGAGCCTTCTGAAATCAAGGGGACAGCCTCCCTAAAAGTGGATAATAATTCGAGGATGGCGCAGACGACCCTTCATTGTTACCTGCACTTTTTATCGGAGGCATCCGTTAATTTCCGGGCATTATTCATGGTGGTGCATCACGTACTTGGGTCATCTAATGCTGTCAGGCATTTTTATGCAAAATACTAAACTTTTGAAACAGAAAGCGAAAGTGAAACGACATGAGACTGGAAGTCAAACGGTGATCCTAATGATTACTGATGGCGCATTTGCTTAATTTCCTTATAAAATCTTCTAAGATTCACACGGATACATACCATGTTATTAAAGGACGGATTTCAGATTTTCAATGCATCGGTTTCAGACGTCATAGGACCTGTATAAATTAACCACCACATCCCGGTACTCTAAAATTACAGACAAGATGATTTTTAATTATCAAAACTTGTATTTATTTTAAAGTTCATTCAGTCTTCACCATAATTTACAAATAAAACAAAGACCATTAAAGGGACATACTGTCGCCGATTTATTTCTTCTTTCCAGTTTAATTAGCTTAAAGCTCATTCAAGAAAACTCAAACTAAAATATTTTAGGCTTACCGGACTTAACTGATTGTGAGTTGAAACCTGATCCATATATAAAATTCAAAGATCAGCAAATAAACAGGTAGTAACCATAAAATGTTATAGTTGAAGATTTCTTTAATTAGAGTGCTGGTTCTTTCTAATTTCTGGGGGGTTGGATGGTTGAATGGTTAGTACGTGCGCGCTGTATCATAAGACCTGTCATTGAGTCAACTGGCGTGGTTTCGAATCCCCGGTTGTACGTGACAAGGAGTAGGGTCGCCTGTCCAACCTCGTGGGTTTTCTCCGGGTCCTCCGGTTTCCTCCCACTGCTAAAGACCCCTATGCGCAAGCGAATTATTGAAATAAAATTAAACCATATGTTAGTCCCGAAATGACCTAGTTTGTGTCGAGTGGACGTTAAACCCCATTTCTCTCTCTTCTTTAATTAGAGTCCTGGTTCTTCCTAATTTCTAATAAATTTTTATAATTTAAGCATGAACTAAAACGTTTCATGAGTTGCTGAGAACAATTTAATTTTATACAAAGGATTATGCATCACCATACAGTTACATCATTTGAAAGCGTGACATATTTGATCACGTGTTTATTTCACTAAAACAATAATAATCAATATTTGAATCACCATGGATATCAGGCTTCAGTTGCCTTGATCATAACATGCTGAATATCGTGTGACGTCGACTAACTTATTGACCGAATCCCGCTGGAAAAGTTTTACCATTGATTCCAACATCAGTAGGATCCAGTAACACGAACTTGAACAGGATTCTATAAACAAACACATCTAAGTTAACTAAATTTTAAAAACAACTGGGCCCTTATTCACGAAAACTTAAACTAAGATACAATCGAAATTTTAAGAAATACTGCAATTCGATTGGCTGACCAATATGCAAATTGGATTTATGCAAATTGATTTTACTGGTCAGCCAATCGAATTGCAGTATTTCTTAAAATTTCGATTGTATCTTAGTTTTAAGTTTTCGTGAATAAGGGCCCAGGGTTTTATGGTAAATATAGTCGATGCAGATGATAAACATATATTAGTTGTTTATGGTAAATAGAAAATGAAAATGATATGAAATGGGGTTTAACGTCCTACTTCGCTGCACCGACTGGGATAATGAAGAGGGGCATGCGCCATACAGTGTGCGATGAGGAAAATTTTGCACTATGGCCGAATGTGTACACGGCCCTCATTTTTCGTGGTCCAACCGAACGACTATATGTTGTCTCTTTCTAGCCCCCCCACCCCTCCTGAACTAGCAATTGGGACTAGGGGCCGACCACCAACCGGACTTCTGGCGTGTTTAAGTTAAAAACAGTCGGTTGTTATAGAAAAGGATTTGAAGGATATAAATAAACCCAGATTATTCCCTCTACACTACATTGTTCCGTCCACCCATTTTATACGTACCGTTCAGCTGGAATCTTTAAGTTCTCCTCGATGATTTTCGTCACAACAGGTGTAATTTCAGCATTTTTATCTGGGTTTAATGCACTGAGGCTCTCTATAATAACTTGAACAAATGGAATGGGTTTACCTCCAGTAAACATCAACTGATCGGGTACCATTCGAACTGTCACGTACTGAAATGAAATGAAGTGGGTTTTAACGTCCTACTGTTCTGCTCCGACCCGGGCTAATGAAGACGAGCATACCCCATGGAGTGTGCTATGAGGGAAATTTTGCCCGGACAGCGGCGCCAAGGCCTACTCTTATTTTGAATTCCACCTGTCAGGGGATCTTTTACGTGCACGCCAATGTGTACATGGGACCCTGGTTTTTGGTCCCACCCGAATGACTATACACTGTTTCTTGTCAGGCCCTCCATCCTGCACCACTGACTTACTAAACACAACAACACAAACTCGAAAGACTGGCTATAGGTCTGTCTCTATAACTGGGTATCTAATCAATCCCGGTGTTGCCCGAGACAGTTCATCGTGATTTTCCGACGCGGTTTTCTCTTCTCAGTGGTACAGGACGGAGGGCCTGGCAATTACAATAGTGTATAGTCGTTCGGATGGGTCTCAAAACCCTGCGCCAGTGCACACATGGAGGTGCACGTAAAAGAACTCTTAGCAGTTTGAATTCTCCCACAGCACTTTATGGTGTATGTCTTTCCTCATTATCCCACCACGGCTCCCTACTCACTGTTCAATGGCCGACCATGTATAATTATATATTTGTACCTGTTCTGGTCGATCCAGGAAATCACCTACAGTTTTACCAAGTGTAGCTGCAAACGTGTCTGTGATAAGAGACGCAGACGCGTTGGTGGTAACAGTTACAAACGGCATCTTTATTTAATCTGTAATTAGAAACATCAGTTAACATGTCACATGACAGAAGGTCAATAACAGGCTCGATTTAGGGGTTCCGGGGACCGAACAGTCAGACATGACATCTTCCATTTTTTCCAAATTTTGAAACTAAATGAAGATGTTCATTAAATGCCTGTCTCGACAGAGTTCGAGTAGGCATTTTCTGTTAAGGCCGAGCAGTTTGATTTGTTAATGCTTTGGAGGGCGATATATCGAGTATAATTTATTAAGTCGAGTGATGGAACTTGGTGTATTGTCAGTGGCCCGTATATACCGATTTTGTTTGGGCCCCTAAAACGAGCACCGCTGGTGTGAGTTTTCTTGTTGCAGGGGGCATGTTCCCTCAGAGAAATATTTGAATCTAGTCACTGAAATACTATTTCCTGGAATTTTGGGAAAGATTTTACAGAATTCTGATGGCCAGAAAACTCTTATAACATGAGTACAATTGAGTACTACGCATGGGAATTCATATTGTTGTGGTGAATTAATATACATAATAGCAAAGATAAACTATTATAGTAAGAACGGCCAGCTGTTTATCTAAATCTTACATAATGTATCTTTAAACTCCATTTTTTTTAAAGCCCCAATTAGATAGTATGCAGTATATGCACAATTTCACCTGAGATAAATATGTCAAATCATCGTTAGGATAAATAGATGATTTATCTGTAAGACATTTACGAGTTGCTATACGAACTTTTGTTTGTTTGTTTGGTTAGGAGAGTGGGGCCACGGTGGCTCAGCAGGGAATAAGGACACCTGCAACACCGGGAGGTACGGATGTTCATGATTGGTGTGGTTTCCTCTTGTTAGTGGTACAGGACGAAGGACCTGGAAAGAATAGCATCTAGTGTGATGTAAACGGATGGCCAGTGTCTAGTTGTTCGGCTGAGACGAAAAACTGAAATACACTTTGATGTGTACGTTAAAGAACCCGGCAGTTGGAAGTCGATGACAAGTAGGCGGAAACACCTTGTCCAGACAAAATTACCTTGATAAGATAATGCATGACGTAAGGCTACTTCTATGTCCGTCGTCATTTGACCAATGTCGCAATGGAGTCCCCCAATCTCATTACATATTATGTCGTTTAAAAGCACGAGCAAAGTTTAGCCTTGTAATCCACGTGGTGGAGATAAAAAGTGACTGTTTTCCATCCTGATATCATAATGCACGATGTGAACCCAAGTATGTCACGGTTATTGTTCAAATAGTTCAACAAGCTTCTAAAACTTACCTAGTGAGGTCTAGTTATTAAAATCTCGTAACCTCTATAACCTTCTATACAATCAGGTGATCTGAATAATACAATATGTACTAGCCTCTCTTTGTGGATTAAAATATGGGGTGTTGTAGTTGTACTCATTGTTGATAACTACGACACCATAGTATGGAGCGGAATTCGCGGCATAATTTTAAATCTTAACCTAACAAGATTTGTGCCAGTAGGGGGGGGGGGGGGTGGATGGCCAAATGGTTAGCACGCGCGCGCTGTATCATACGGTCTGTCATTGAGTCAACTGGCGGGGTTTCGATTCCCCGGTTGTGCGTGACAAGGAGTAGGGTCGCCTGTCCAACCTCGTGGGTTTCTCCGGGTCCTCAGGTTTCCTCCCACTGCTAAAGTGAATTATGGAAATAAAATTGAACCATATGTTAGTCTCGAAATGACCTAGTTTGTGTTGAGTGGACGTTAAACCCAATTTCCCTCTCTCTCTCTCGCTTGTGCTAGTGTGTATACTTTACTGCACGCATCTTCTTAGTTATAATAATTGAATATTTACACAATTTACAGGTAGTTTAAATTTGAATTTAGTTCTATTTCCATTATTGCTTTAAATTAATTTGTAAAATATCGGAAGACCTGGCTATTAAAAATGTGCATGTGGATCATGGTTAAAATTGTGTTGTGAATTCTGCTCCATATATAATATCTAGAGCAAATCTACGGCTTTAGACACACGTGTTTTCACTGCTCGGCTTTGTGTCAACAAATGAGTAGGCCTAACCGGCTCTGATATCAACTAACACACTATTTATGGATAACAATTACTATGGTTTATTTCACTGCGACGTTTCAACAAGATTTCACAAGTCGTCATCAAGTATATAACGACTTGTGAAATCTTGTTGAAACATCGCAGTGAAATAAACCATAGTAATTGTTATCCATAAATAGTGTGTTAGTTGATTATGTTCCAATTACTAAATGCCATTCAAAGAATAACGGCTCTGATATCATCCACATCATCGCCGTATACCCGTTTACTCTGGTGTCTTTATATCATATCACTTATTATAATCGTTTGAAATTCTTTATTATCAGATGGTGGGATGGGATTGGCATTCAAAGCGCGAAATAATGATATAGAAATGGGTGATATCACAATTAATGCTTTGCATCAATGAAATTGAATCACAATGTGATCCTATTAATTCACTATAAATACTGATATCAAACAGGATGTTGGATTTGTCTCCTTAAAAAGCTCAGTGTGTATGTATGACAATGTATGCCTACTATGTAATTTAGAGACGATGATGGCATCATGCATTGTCAACTGTCAAATTTCCTTAACAGGAACCTGGCAAACACCTTATTCCTGCGAAAATTCCTGGATCCGCCCCTGGGATCTTTCACCGCTGCCCCAGGACAATTGAAACCTGAGAATGGAACCCTGACTTAAATGGACAAACATGATGATCAAGTTTTTTTTAGGTGCAATAACTGTGTGAATATGTCATGAATCGTGGTCAAATGCAAACTCATTTTCGTAAAACATTTGTTTAAAATGGTACAGTAGATTGCATGGCTTCCCAAATTTTTCCCCTGTTGGCCTGTCCTAATTTTAATAAATAAACATGGGTTAGAACTCAGAACAAAATACATTTCTCAACAAAAATATATATTTTTTTACCATAAATTAAATTAATATTGAATTTATTTTTAGTCATTAGCCTTGATTAATTAAATAAACATGTCATGGGTCAGAACTACTCAGAATAAAATACATTTCTCAACAAAAATATATATATTTTTTACTATAAATTAAATTAATATTAAATTTATTTTTAGTCATTAGCATTTGATTAATTCAATTAACAGACATGGGTCAGAACTACTCAGAATAAAATATTTTTTTCAACAAAAACATATTTTTTTTACTATAAATTAAATTAATAATGAATTTATTTTTAGTCATTAGCATTTGATTAATTCAATTAACAGACATGGGTCAGAACTACTCAGAATAAAATACATTTCTCAACAAAAACATATTTTTTTTACTATAAATTAAATTAATATTGAATTTATTTTTAGTCATTAGTACTTGATTAATTCAAAGTATGAGTGTAAAATAAGAGAAAGCAATATTTTATTTGTTTGTTTTTGATTTCACCAACAACAAGAGAAAATATGTCAGCACAAATTTAGATTCTTTTACTGGAACACAATGTGTAATCAGGTCAGAATGGTTTTTCAAATTTAAACAAGTGGTTGCCATGCAAGATACGCCCAGATTTTGCAAGAGGACAGAGAACAAGCTAAAAAAGTGATTTTTCGAATAATCAGGGATACAAACATATATTTTAAGTTTCATCAAAATCGGATAAAAATTGAGACCTCTAGAGGGTCCACACATGCTTATTATACTATTTGCATAAAGGGGAGCGCCCAATTTTCAAAAAATTCAAACTTGACCATCATTATGGTGTAACAGTAATATATTTGAACGTTTTTTAAAATCAAAAAAAAATTGTGAACTCTAGAGGGTCCACAAGCTAAATTAGTGATATTTCATACAATCTGGGGCCATAATCAAAGAAGTTACAGTTAGATATGTGCCAATATAGAAGGGAAACGAGACCTTTGGGATATAAACATACATTTTAAATTTCATTGTGACGTCTTGAGTGTCCACAAGCTAAAAAAAATGATTTTTCGTACAATCAGGGGCCATAACCCGAGTAACCAAGCAACCAAGATCTTGGGATATAAACCTATATTTCAAGGTTTGTCCAAATCGGATAAAAAGTGTGACCTGTAGATGTCCACCAACAAATGTGAACAGACGGACACACAGACAGACGGACAAGGGTGTCGACATAATACGTCCACAAGAGAATGAGTGCGTACAAAAAATACCCAGCCATACGTTATTTATATATGTTAAAGTTTGATAATTCAAATCTGAAAACATGAATCTTGATTTAAGAATTAAAACCTGCTTGTAACTAAGAGAAAGACTATAAGTTGGATTGCATAATTCTTTTTATAAATTCAATTAACGTAAAAAAATTTAAATTTCCTGATCAAATATGCATAGTGACTGAGAGGACAATTTCTGCGCCAGACATTTTTATTATCTATTTTTGAACTATTATAGCAAGAATGGCCAGCTCTCGCTCTGTCTCTTACTTAAAGATACATTATGTAAGATTTAGATAAAGAGCTGACCATTCTTGCTATAATAGCTCAAAATCAGATAATGTAAAATGAAAATATTGAAAATTTCATTCAAATTACTTCATTCTGAGCCACGTTATCACTGTTTGTAGTTTTGGCAAGATGTGTGCATTGTGGTAACCAGGGCACTGGTATATTCGAGACTGAGCCTTGCTTTCCCATTTTTAAATTAAATTTTTAAATGGCGAACCATTCTAATGTAGTTAAAATCTTGAGTATCCGATGCCATTGAGAGTTGATTATGGTCTTGTTTTGTTAATAAATGTCTAATTAATAGTTTATGTAACATTTCAGGCCTCGATAAAGACCTGCGTCCTGCAATAGGCAGATTTAGCTATTACATACATGTAATGCATGTTTAACGGATCTTTAATTAAGAATTATGGTTCAGAATGAAACTTTATGTAGGCACTAGGTTTTCTTCCTGTGTTTTTTCGAATGTATTTTAATATGTTGAATCATGTTTCCTTTCTGTGTAAACGTTTTACCACACACATCACAGCAGTGAGGTTGAAGACCCGTGTGGGTATTGTGGTGACGTTTTAAACTTGCGTTAATACTGAAACATTTCCCACAATCCTTACACGCGAACGGTTTCTCACCGGTATGGGTTCTCATGTGACGAACCAAATCACCATGGATACGAAATCTTCGTTCACAAATATCACACTCGTGGTGTTTAGAGGCGTCGCCAGCGTGAACTTTGGCATGAGTTTTTAAAATCTGAGCAGAATAAAAACTTTTATCACAATCTGCTTCAGGACATTTGTAAATTCGACTTTTATCAGATAAATGTACTTTGATGTGTCGCAGGAGATACGATCTTTTAGCAAATTTTGTACCACATTCGGAACAGTAACACGTCTCGACTTTATCATGAGATCTAATATGACAATTGAAATATTTATGACTCGTAAAGTTTTTGCTGCAAATGACACAAAAATAAGGATTGAAACCTGAGTTGATGGCTACTTCAGTACCGTCCACGGACACCAGTTTCTGAACTTGTTGATTTTTTTCCTCATTGTGGACTCTCATGTGCGAAACAAAATCCAGCGCTTTATTAAATTGCTTCTGACATTTAGAACAGTAAAAAGAATTTTCTGATATTTTGATCTGAACTGGAATTTGTTGATCATGGTTTTGGTCAATGGAAAGGTCTTGGTCTTTTACTGGTGGGGATTCTTCTGGTGGAGCAGGATTCACATCTTCCTTAGATTCCTCCATGCTGTGAGATTTCACATGTTCTAGAAACTGAGTTGTTTTCTCTTCGGTGAAACATTCTCCACAAGCAGAACACTTTAAATTCGATCCTAAGATAAAAATCTTTACCCCGTTCTTCTTGATGTCTGAACACTCTGTTGGTTCTACTGTTATTGAAGAAATGTCCACATCTGCCATATCATTTAGAAGATGATCTGTATCTGGTTGTGAAAATGTTTCTACATCTTCAGATGTTTCCTCCGTTGAGACCATCTGTACTGTTGGTCCGAGAGTCACCGAAGAGCCGATTTCTGGTGGTGGATTATGGTTGGCAAGTTCTGGTGGATTATGAATGGTGGTTGGAGGGGTTGTGAGGTGCTGCATGCTATTTGAAGCATCTGTTGTTGGATGTTGAGTTTGTTGACAAACAACCTGTTGGGTAACATTTGATCCATCTGAATAGTTGATGAAGTCATTCTGATAACCAACTGTAGATGATTGGTAAGTTATATTGTATGAGGTTGGTATGTTTACAGATAATCCACTGGGTTCCATGATCTGGGAAACCAGAGAAGCAGCCATAGTGGTATTTGTAGGTTGGATGGAGTAGTTAGGGTTCCAGACATAATCAAACTGATTACCTTGCTGGGGACATTCAGATATTCCATTCAACTCAAACCGATGATCTGTGGTTTGTTGGTTCTGATGACTTCTCTGTTCAAAATTTACAGAATTCTGAATCTGGTTGGAATAAATAGTTTGATTGTCTTCTCTAGAAGAAAGATTCATGTGACTTGGCGCAATCTGTTGATGGAAATAATTGTTAGCGTTCGAGTAATTTTTGCTGGCTGGCTTGTCGGATAAATTTGGAGCTAGTTGGAGTGTATTCGGAGCTGTAAAATGTTGATCAGCAATCTGATTTCCGATGTTAATGAACTGAAACTGTTCATTATAAACTATATTAGATTGTTGTTGTGGATATTGAGGTACACCGTTTATATTTGATACCTGAAAATTTACATTGTTAGTCGGGACTGAAGTTGGAAAAGATACATGTGGTTTTTGTGATGGTGTTTGTTCGTTGTAATGGGGTGTTTGTGTAACTAAAACAACGCCGCCTTCAGAGTTTTCCACATTCACAACTTTCTGATGCATCTCTATGGCAGGATAATTTCTCGGTGTTGTAATATCAACTGTTCGACTGTCAGCTATTTTCTCTGTTCTTCTCTTAAACAGTTTCTTATTTTTTCTCCTTTTTTCCACTCCTCTAACTTCTCCATTTTGAATTCTGTCTTGTCCGTCTGCATGTTGTGTCATTTTATGTCTCCGTAAATTACGCCAGGCTTTAAAACTTTTATCACAGATTTCGCATGTAAATGGCCGCTCTGTCGTATGAACCAACGAATGTTCCTTCAAGTCCCCATTATGACGGAAAGTCTTACCACAAGTTAAACAGCGACTTGGTTTCTCCCCCGAATGAATTCTCATATGTTGACGTAGATTCCCGTTTTCGTAAAAACAACGATCACAATCTGAACATTTAAATGGCCTTTCCCCCGTATGCTTACGCATGTGTATTTTAAGATGGCCGCTCTCCGTGTACGATTTCCCACAATCTGGACAGATGTACGGTCTGTCGCCACTGTGCGTTCGATTATGTTTGGATAGACTTGATCTTTGTGTGAAGGCTTTATCACAGACTTTGCAGGCATAGGGTCGAATACCAGTATGAATTCTGCTGTGTTGTTTTAAATGGCTGCTCGTATCACAAGTAACGGGACAAACGTCACATTTAAATGGCTTCTCTTCAAAATGAGACAATCTGTGACGTTTTAACGACCAGTTCTGTGTATACACCTTGTCACACAGGTCACAGGAGAATGGAGCAGCTGTGTGGCTGATCAGATGTTGTTGAAGTGATTTAAGTGACGTAAAACTCTCTCCACATTGATGACAAATATTTTGGTTTTCAGTCATGTGAACTTGAATATGTTTAGATAGAAGTTTTTTCGTATAGAAGAATTTACCGCACTTCAAACATTCGTTAGATTTTTCACCAGTGTGACGTCGTAAATGTGAATCTAATTTCTCAAGAACTGGAAACCCGATTCCACATAACGGACAATTGTATGTTTTATTTTTTGCATCATTTTCGTCATCTGGCTCCGACATTTTATCACATTTCTTCAACAGTTTTCTTCCTCAGGTGTAGAATCGAGATGATTATGCCCGTCAGGCTGGTGAGACGATCGTTCTTTTGGATGTCTGATTCAAATATTTCATCTGATTTATGTTTTTGTTTGTTGAGTTTAGTAGAGAATATTAACAACCTGAAAAACAGAACAAATATTTTAATTGAAGTATGATACCTGACACAGTTTTCTACTCTACATCCTAAATTGTCAATGAAGAAGGGGCCCTTAAGAGAGGAGAAGAGAGAGAGAGAGAGAGAGGGAAGGGGTGGGGGGTCATGTCCTCTCGACACAAACTAGGTCATTTTGGAACTTACATATGGTAAAATTTTATTTCAATAATTCAGTATTGCGTAGGGATCTTTAGCAATTTGAGGAAACCGGAAGACCCGGAGAAAAACCAAGAGGTTGGACAGGCAACTGTACAGCTTATCATGCACATGCTGGGAATCGAAATCCAGACCATAATCAACCATAATCGATAGCCTGCGATCTTTAGTGGATAATGAGCCAATTTACTGCATAACTTTCCTTCACGATTTAACGATTAAATGGATCATCGAGACTACGCTGTTTATCGTACTGACTTTAGTAATGATGATCGAGGCTAGGTGGAAATTTCAATCGCTTAGTTCTCGGTTCATAGTGGATCAATTTGAATGAAATTTTCAGGAAATTACCTTTACATTATCTAGTTTTTAGCTATTATAGTGAGAACTGCCAACTCATTAACGAATCTCCCATAATGTATCCTTAACAGTCAAACAGACCTTCTGATCTAAAAATAGACCATATTCGGCTATCCAACCCCTCAGAGTACTACAGACAATAGTGAACATTAGAAGTACCAAGATAGAGTTTTGTTTTTAATTTTAATACAGAAACATAATAGTAGGCTACTTATAATTATTTTACACTTATAATTATATTACATTTATGTAGAATCCTGCGAAACTTTCAGCTAAGTTCACGTTTACACCGAAAAACTAGCGTTTAGCCGTGCATACTGTGTCCACATGGAACTTCCTACTTTCTATTAGGGATAGGGTCAGGGTCAGGGTCAGGTATTTAAGATTAAAACCTATAACACAAAAATGGGAGTCACATCAAACATAAATCCCCCAAAAATAGACGGGATTCATGAGTTTTGAAGTGTTAAATTTTGAGTTCTTCTTCGACTGTCTACAGAAACTGCATAAAGTAAAAGCATATAAAATCATAGAACCTCGAGATATGGCTACTTAAAACATTCGTGAGACAACGTGTAAAAATTTCACCATGTTCGGAAGATATCAGGTTTCTAATATACATATATTTTAAAAATAAATATGATGTTTACGTGTTGTTTACAGCTAGCCTCCATTTTACCGGAAATCTTGTGCAGACGGTATAAGGGGGGTAACTCCATTTAATCTCGATTGTCATGACACCAAAAAGTGGTGATGAAGACCACAGGGGTTTGTTATAAATGAAATGAAATGAAGGTATACGTTCTCATTTTCTTCTCCACCTCGGCCAATTGAAAAAAAAAAAAAAAAAAAATGTGTACTATGTATCAGAAACTCGCAAAACTGTGGTGTCTGGGAAAGAACATCGGACGATTTTATTTTCCCAATACAATAGGCTGCTATTCATCGACTGAATTTCTAATCGACCAATAGGCCTGTCTTTATCTCGACAAGTCGACTATCTGGTGACTTGGTTCAATCCAATCTCGATCCCAAAGATAACTTTACCCTTCGTTTACCTCTGGTAAAACTCGTCGGCCATTAATCAGCGTGAATTCGGTTGTTTAGCTCCCCCCCCCCCCCCCCCCCCGTGACTAATAAGCAGGATTTGTTACCGATTTCAAAATTCAAAATTGCCGGCGAGTTTTACCAGCGATACAGGAATTGTAAGCCCATCTCTGGGATCGAGTTCAACCTTCGAATGTACTTTGGCTGGCTATATTACCCAGTGTACAATCTTGACTATGCAACTCCTGTCTGGTTTGTGGCACAGATCCTATTTCGTTTCGTTTTTTATAGTTCAAAATTTCTTTTTACTTGTCTTTACTACACTAGGATCTGGAAGAGTTGTTATATTACCGGCGCTTTGGTTGAAGTGAGGGATAAGCCAATGAAACAGCCTGTTACAGCGACTTCTTGGCGTGCCATGCAACGGAACTGTTGGTAAACCACTAGAAACGCCATTAACGCTGATTGATTAATCAATGTCTGACGTCATAGGGCCAAAAGCCGCTCGTACGACCCCTAACACGACCTTCGAGTACAACTGGTCAGATCTTCATGTAGTGTAAGCCATCGATAGTATAAAAAAAACGAAATGAAATATAGATCTGTATTCTAATCAGATTGTTAGCAACGTTGCTTTTTAATCCTTCGATTTCGCGGCTATCATTACGATGCATAATTCATGCACCAACGTGGGACAAACTAGTTTCAATGTACTCGTCGAGCGGTTGCGACTATATAGTACGACAACAACACTGTGCCGTTGGCCTGGGATTGAAAGCGTACGTCGGTGCTTAGTGGTATGTTTATTGCCATTTTGGGCGTTGCTGTGTGGCAGTAACTAATATACACACACACACTATCTGTCTCTATGCGGTCAAGGGCTGTGCTAGCTCTGTAGCGACGGGTGTGCGTCAGAGTAGCAGTCTCAGAGCAACCGGTCTCTGAGTCTGAGAGAAATGCGAGGAAAAGACGCCAGGCGAAATATGTTCGATTTGAAAATTCCTGCAAATTAATACCTCTATTTTCTTTTCAAACTGACCACGAAGTACAAAATGTACTAGAGATAAAATAGTCGAAACTGATTTTGTTTGTTGAATTATACGCTCACCAAACACCGGTAGACGGTAGTTAGCCTATACATACAGGCGACAAGGAGTAGGGTTGCCTATCCAACCTCGTGGGTTTTCTCCAATTCCCCCCCACTTCTAGCCAAAGACCCCTGATGACATTCAACCATATGTTAGTCCCGGGATGCCCCCCCCCCTCCCGGTAATTTGCCTAATGCCTAATTGAGAAATAAGCGGGAATAAAAACTGAGTTTGGTAGAAAGACAAAAAATAACTTTATTTGTTACAATGAATGGTTACAATTTATTATAAGATAATATAACTTGATCATATCTATAATCAATGAATGGTTAAAATATAGAACCAAACAATTTCCTTGTAATGTTCCATGTCACACTCTCATCCTGCATGGAAACAACACAGGAAATTCTCAGTAACTTTCTCGAAAAACACCGGGATTTTAGCTATAAATTGAATCCCTTGCAAACTACATCAACTTGTCTGCGATATCACCTCGATGAAAGCATACGTAAAATACAACTAACTCACACACACTACTGCATTGTGACAGATGAATCTCCACAGGAATTTCTGTACAAAAATGGTTCAATTCCGTTGAGAATTCATCCATCTATGCTGCTTCCTTGATAACAAGAGCACCGCCATTTGTTTCGCCGTGAACTGATTGACTTGTTTTAAAACCGATTGAGAACTCAAGACAAGTGGCTATATCTGGTGTTTATATTTTGATTTTTTTTTTTATTAATTTGAGTATATATTAGCCGGGATTAAATGACTGAATGAAATTTGTTTTAGCGTTACTTTCCTGCATCAAGTGCATCGACTGAGCATTCCGTGGATCAAGTCGTGATAAATATATTCTCCGTAAAAATTCAAATCACGCATTATTACCATACTGTACCCAGTGTTCCATAGATGCCCGACTTGGTTACAACTATTCTGATATTCTATGTGTGCGCATGTGCTGATGCATGTTACCATTTTGTGAGAAACACCGTCCACATATATTACATCTGTAAGGTAAGGCACCGTTGTGGGTTCTAAAATGTCGGTTTAACGAGGAATTCAACGAGAAAGATTTCCCACAGTGTGAACACAGGTATGGTTTATCTCCAGAATGGATTCGAGAATGATTCACTAAATCTCGTTGAAATTTAAAACCCCGACCACATGTTTTACACGAGAAGGGTTTATCCTCACTGTGAACTTTCTGGTGTGAAAACAGCGAGCGTTTTAATAGGAAACTTTTACCGCAAGAGTCACAATTAAACGGTTTGATTCCCTCATGGATCTTCATATGCTGGGTGAGATTCGATTTCTTGGAAAAATTCTTGAAGCAAATCGTACACTGTATTAAACTGTTGTTGAAATCATCCGTGTGGGATCGAAGATGCTGAGATAAAGAACCATTATGTTGGAATAATTTACAACAAACAGGACACTTTAATTCCTCAACACGGACGTCTGGTTGTTCTTCTATCTGTTGACTCGATTTATTAGTCATTTCTACCTTTTCTAGAAACACGTCTAACATATCAACGGTTAAATTATTTACATTGGTAGATTCGGTGGTCTTTATTTTTCTAGAACGAATTTTTCCACCTTTAGTTTTGTTTTTATTGATATCCGAACACAGTTTATTCTTTAATTTTTTATTAGACGACGTCTGGGAACGTGTTATTCGACTGGGGCATCTTGCACCTTTAGGACTTCTCGCGACACTCTCTGTATCATCATTACTTGACTGGGTGTTATCTTTTCTGGTACAATGCTTGTCATCCTCATCGACACCAACAGGAAACGTAAAAGATTCGTCCACGCTCTTTTGGTCGGTTATAAGCTTGCTGTCCATCCCTGGATCAGAATCCCCACCTTCATCTCTAGAATTCATCGGGGAAAGCGGGAAAGGGGATGATACTTGAATAACTGAATTGTTATCCTTACTTCCATTATAAGAACTAGCAGAAGCAGTACCCGAATCACATCCTTGGAGTTTATCATATCCTGGCAAAGGTGCTATTGCCAAAATGTTATTCTTTAAAGATGTGTCAAGATCTTCCATTGGTAATGGTTTGGCTGTTTCACTAGCGACGTCATAATGGGGTGTGCCAGCAGGAAATAAATCAGAACTCTGGGACTCCTGGAGACTTTTTACATGATTTAGCAGTTGGTTAGACGATGTGATGGCATGGCATAGATTATCGCCTTTTACTAATGTGTTTTGAATATGGACAGACTCAAAATTGTGATGTTCGTTTTCATGATGATTCTTCTCTAGTCCATCTACTGGATCTGTTGCTTGACTTGATACAAGAAGCTGAGCGTCTTCATTTTCGTATAGCTTACAAGATGAATTACGAGTAGCTGATGACGCACCGATATCTGGGTTATTAGTAAATGATGTCAATGATGATGCAGTTATGCCACTTGTTACAGTTAGTTCTGGTGGATTACCTCCAGGAAATGTTTGGTTCACTTGGTACCCATGACAATAGACATTTGGCACTAACTGCGATCTCAGACAAGACTCTCCAACATTCAATAAGGCTTTAGCTGACTGTAGTCTAGTCAGGTATTCTTCATCTAATACAGGAACTTCTGGAGGGTGGGTGATATGATGAGAGGTCTGGACATAATCCGGATTACCAGGATCATCAGTATGAATATTTGTAGACAGAACCTGGGCTTGTGGATGAGGTCGCTGATGATGATGATGCCCTGGATTAGAGATGGAAATACCCTGTAGATGAGGTAGATGATGGTGCTGGCCTGGGTTAGAGTTTGAAATATCTAATATAACATGGTCATTAACCTGAAACTGTCCATAACTTGAATGAAGTAAAATGGGTTGCTTGTTGGAAGAGTGGTTATAATCATCATACACCGATACAGATATTGGGTAACCTGATCCTGTAGTTGTAGTAGGGAAGATCTGATTGGATGAAACTGGCATTGTAGTTGTAGTAGGGAAGATCTGATTGGACAAAACTGGCATTGGGTGACACGATCCTGTAGTTGTAGTAGGGAAGATCTGATTGGATGAAACTAGCATTGGGTGACACGATCCTGTAGTTGTAGTAGGGAAGATCTGATTGGATGAAACTAGCATTGGGTGACACGATCCTGTAGTTGTAGTAGGGAAGATCTGATTGGATGAAACTAGCATTGCGTGACCCGATCCTGTGGCTGTAGTAGGGAAGATCTGATTGGACGAATCTGGCATTGCGTGACCCGATCCTGTAGTTGTAGTAGGGAAGATCCGATTGGACGAAACTGGCATTGTAGTTGTAGTAGGGAAGATCTGATTGGACGAATTTGGCATTGGGTGACCTGATCCCATAGTTGTAGTAGGGAAGATCTGATTGGAAGATGTTGTACATTGAAGATGAGTAGGATTGTTATCTTGGGAAGAAAAGGAGTCAAAGTTTTGGCCAGAGTTCATTAGATATTGCTGCGGGTGTTGCTGAGTCTGGGAAGTGGTTGTCCAGGGACATGGTGTTGGCACTAAACTAGAACTGGACTGATCCAGACAAATAACATCTGATACTGATAACGATGGCTGATTGGAATTGGATGTAGTAAATTCCAAAGAAGAAGAATTTGTTACATGGTTCGAAACATCAGTAACTGAAATATTCCGGACTGGAGGTGTCTGGGTACCTAACACAGTACTGGTTTGAGCTTGAGCAAACTCGTCACTTTTACCAACATTTGGTGTCGGGAGATTTATTTTATCATCCCGGACAGTCGATGTGGACTGACCTTCTGTCGGTGCACCATGTCCAACTATTGAACTACTACACAATTTTTCGGATTTATGTAAAGTCTTAATGTGTGTTTTTAGATTTCTATTTGACTTAAAGGCTCGTCCACAAACAGAACACAGAAAGGATTTAATTTCGGTATGAACCAATTTATGTTCCCGTAAATCACTGATGAATCGAAACGAGCGGTCACATGTCACACATTTGTGTGGTTTCTCCCCAGAATGAATCAGAAGATGTTGCGTTAAATTTCTATTCTCTGCGAATTGTTTACCACATTCTGTGCATTGATAGTTTTTCAGTCCCAAATGAACTCGATGATGTTTTGTTAATTTGCCACTTTCTATAAATGCTCGGCCACAGATTTCACATATATAAGGCTTCTCCCCGGTATGAATTCGCACATGTCGAGTTAAATTTGGTTTTTGGTTAAATGATTTATCACAAACATCACATTTATATGGTCGAACACCAGAATGGATTCTCATGTGTTGCCTTAAATGATTGGCCGTTAAACTCACATGATCGCAAATTGAACATGGAAACTTTTTTACCACATCAATGTTCATATGACTTTTCAAATGCTTCTGAAGCAACGAGTTACTCGTAAAAGATTTTGTACATTTTGAACACTTGAAGGATTTGTTAACATTGTGTCTCTTCTGATGATGGTTTAAATTTCTTTCACTTTTAAAATATTTTCTACAACCTTCGTAAGAACATTCGTATCTTGTTGTAGTATCTTTATCGTTATTTAAATGATCAACAATGTGCTTATGTAAAGTTTGTTTATTTTTGAAGGTTTTTCGACAGATTTCACAATAATTGTTATTGAGGTGATTTTCTAAATGAGATTTTACGTCGGATAAAGATGAGAAACTTTGACTACATATTTTACATTTGATTTCTTCTTTTGGCAGATTTTTTTTCTCCATTTCTAATTTTGATGCAATTTTGACCTCATCAGAAATGTATTCACAAAGTCATTTTTACATGGCAAGACTAAAACATTTGTTCTCAGTTGGTAGCACTGCCATTTTAAAGTTAGAAATAGCCACTTTTTTCAAGCTATACATGAGCAATTTACTAAACGTTCCACAGATGATGTGTTTATACATGTGTATTACAAACTTGTACATGACTGTATTTTTTATGTAGCAAACTTGTATCTATATTTTGAACAGTTCTAGAGCATCAGATACCATTTCTCATGTATTTTGAATTCTGTAGATCTCCACGGATTTCCTGATACGTTATTTTTATAAACCACTATTTGACTTGTGTGATGACTGCTTTGTCTAAAAAAAAAAGAAAAGAAATCTGATATTATAATAAAACATCATCAAAAGTTCACGTTGGCATGTTGTATCTATTTATGGTTCCCAAACAATCCAAACAAGATGTTTGAGTTTGACATGCAATGTTGACATCTGGCCTAGATAATCATGATATCACTATAGTCAATTACTGAAAATTAATCAAATTTATAAAATTGAAGGGGAATTCAATATTATAATAAAAACTTTAGCATTGCTGCATTGGTACAAGCCACGCTCTACTAGTTCAAAATTTCAGACCCTTCATTACCGTAGATAGTTTTTTTGACAAATGTTAGCCATGTGAAGCCATCAAAAACATTTGAATGAAATCTGCTCACTGAATTTATATGCAGACATCCCTCTGCAAATATTGTTTGTCACTCATGGGGATGGAAACGGTTACCACACGATTAGAGTCATTCATTAACCACTGTTTTAGAAATAATCTTTTAGACTAGACTCTAGAGGCATTTAGTAACTGGATAGATAGAATAATGAACTATAATATATACTTATAGATAACAACTACTAATTTAGCTTGAAAACGTTGAGAGAATAATCACAAAATTCTACTTATAAATAGTGTTGAATTAATATAAATTTGTGTCAGATGTGCCATCATGTGGCGAGAAATGATTCCTTTTATTTCAGTGACAATATCATCGCCTGGCGCATAACCGGAGAGAAAAAATAGAATATAATTTGACATAATGAATACGATAACCTCGCGTCAGTAATCTTACATGTACTCACATCTTTCTTGACCGCCATTAATCATAAATAGGAACCAGATTTTACAAATTCGTGTTTTGTTTACGTTTTCACTGCAATCGACGTCTTTTGCAACCTTTCACGGAAAGGGAAGTAACTCTCATTTTGCACTGAAATATAAAGGACGGATCGGAAAATGGAATAGACGTAATTGCTGTAAAATACGTTAAAGGGACTTTCCCGATTTGAACAGAATCTCAAAAATAAAAGTCCGAGTACGTATGAAATTTAAACGCCAAAATATAGAGGAATGGTGTATTTACCTTGTCTCAAAATTTTAGCTCAAAATATTGAGTTGTTTGGACGCGAACGTCAAAACTGCTTATCCGGACACGTAACCCTTTTAAGATTTCGGGTCAATTTTTTCGATGGGTGACCTGATAATCTATTCCCGTTCCTTTTGAGGTTTATACAGTGAATGACACATGGGCTATACTTGATAACGAAGGTAAATTTCACCGACGCATTATTTTTTATAAAATAAACGTATGGTTTTATCCAGACACCGCATAATACAGCTTTGGACACTGGTCTCCATTTCCAGATGAAGACTGACGGGTTTAAGTTGTTTGAAAACGTATCACATATATTGAGTTAGTTGCTCGGCCCTAATGTAGAGGATTTTAAGGGATTTTAACACAAAATTAAGCAGTTTTATTCTCCAAAATATTATCGGGATTGGCCCTTTAACCCAAGATATACTTATCCACTTTACTAGACCACATCAATATAGCGCCATGTTAAATTCAAAATTTGTTATTTCTAACTTCTCATTCTAGGCCGATTCATGTAATTATTCTAGGAGCTAATTCTTTTTAAAGAATTTGGCACCTAGCAGTAATCTTTTACGTGCACGCCAATGTGTACACGGACCTCGGTCTTTCGTCCCATCTAAACGACTAGACAGCTGTCAGGTCCTTCCTTCTGCATCACTGACAAAGGAGAACCACGTCGGAAAATCTGGATGAACTTTCTCGGGCAGGGATCGAACTGTTCGTCGAGTTAAATAGATCTAACCAGATACCGCCAGTCGCCTGAGCGGAAAGTGTCATGGGGCAAACAGAGGGCAGGCCAGAATTTTGGGAGGGCAAATGCCCCCTTCCCCCTTGGCGCCGCCACTGCTTGGACTGTAGCCTACATACTTGCAATTATGGGCTTCTTATTAAGGTCTTCACATTTTTTGCCACTAGTTTCGATTGGTCTAGGACCCAGCTTTAGACCTCTCAAATTACCCGATAGAGGATATCATCGCGAAAACCAAGTCTAGCGCTTTTCAAATGAAAGTTACAAAGTTCAATTTCAAGGTTGCTGCACTTCACATTTTAGTCAAGAATTTCTACTTTACTTATCTTTTCTTCTATCTTGCTGGTAGGTTTGCTTTTTTGGTTTTCCGTGAGATTTTAGACTAAATGAAAAAAAAAAGGTTCCAACGGCTCTAATCCTTTAGGTGTTTGTATCACGGTCTCTGATTGAACAACGTTATGGTTTACATTTCCTGCGGTAAAAGGTGATAACGTACCTAAAAGTTTGGGAAATTTCAGACTTATTTAGCAACGGCTAGACGTTGTAAAACTCGAGATCGTTGCCTCAAGAACATGTTTCAGAATTGGACAACTTTTTATATTTAAAACAATAAGTCCGCATGTATAGTAGATGCTGAGTTATTGAGCCATTTAAAAGTTCTTGGCGATTTTCCTGCGTGTTTACCCCTTCTCATTGGTGCAGGGCGGACGGTCTGGTAAGGAATTGCGTCTATCATAACGTCCCATCGACACAAACTTGTTCATTGCGGGACTAACATATGGTTCAATTTGATTTCAATAATTCGCTTGCGCGAGGGGGTCTTTAGCAGTGGGAGGAAACCGGAGGACCTGGAGAAAACCAACGAGAATGGACAGGCGACTCCTTGTCACGTACAACCGGGGAATCGAAACTACGCCAGTTGACTCAATGACTGACCTTATGATACAACGCGCACGCACTAACCATTCGGAGACCCAACCCTCGATAAATGAATGACCACATGGTTAAAATACTGCCGACTCGTTAATATAAGTAAAGATGGCTATTATCCAAAATACTCACAATACAACTATATTAATATACGTTTAATTAATTGACATTTAATTAGTGGACAATCATACATTTATTATACATCAACAGTGAAAAGGCAGTTTGTATACAAAAATATACAACATAATAAATGACATCTTTATTTATGGCACAAATTGCTTTTAAATGACATCTTTATTTATGGCACAAATTGCTTTTAGAACTAATTGGGGGGGGGGGGAGCTTTGATATTGTGTGGCCTTGGTTGCAGCCTGGTCACCCCTATCCCCTTCCCCCTTAATCTGATCCTGCACCTTGTTGCCTTGAACACCATAAAACTGACTTAAACGTCCCAAACTTTGGTGTAAAATGTCATATGTCATATTAGTGTCTTAAAATACCACAACATTTGGCTTAAAACGTCATATAATTTGGTTTAAAACGTCATACAATTTGAATTTAAACGTAATATTACTGGTTTAAAACGTCATATAGTTTGGTTTAAAACGTCATATATGTATATAACGGACTTAAAACGTCATATATGTATATAACGGACTTAAAACGCCATACACTTTGGATTCAACAAACGTCAAATAACTGGCTTAAAACGTCATATAATTTGGTTTCAAATGTCATATAAATGGCTTAAAACGTCATGTAACTTGGCTTAATAATGCCATAAAACTGAGTGTGGGAAGCTACACAACCAACTTAGCCATATGGCACAGCCAGTCCTCGGTTATATTACAAAAAATATGTCATACACTTAAAGGAGGTAAATCGCTAATATTTGGGACCTAGAAATTGACCCAAATGGGTCGCAACGCATATAATAATGTAATCTGATTGTATATAAACTGATTTACATTCAATTGTTTCCGTTTTGACTCTTAATTTCAGATCAGTTATTTCCCTATAGCAATTTCTAGCGTCTGGTTATTCCAGTCTATTGAGCAGGCTCTCCAGTTGAATATGTCTAGCCTCGTTCTTTCTGGTCAATTGTTGCAAATGACGCTAAAACGCACTATGGTACACGATTCGTGTATCAATGGTAAAATGTTTATTTTGTCTTAAATATTGGATATCAGAAGCCTGTCTTTTTCTGGTAAGATCACAACATCAATGTTGATTTAAATTGACAAATAATTCGTATTTTCAACGTGTATGACTTTGGATGATATTGAGTTAGAGACTTAGCTACTTTAAGATACACCAAGGCCAATTATATCTCTACAAAATGTATAATGTGGTGACCCCCACACAACATTTTATTACAAAAAATTCTACAAAAAGAAATATAAAAAATATGACATGTGTGATTTCTGATGAGTTGACGGTCTGGGAATACTTGGTGGCTGGATAAATACAGATGTAGTCTCTGTCTTCTTGTCGTGAAAGGAGTATTTATGCAGAAACTATTACAATGGTCTGAAATATAAATCATATATATGGTTGTTGAGGCGGAAGGATCGGGAGGTAAACAGGCATAAATTAGAAATATCACCTAGACATAACACATGGATATAACATGGGTATAACACATTTATATAATACATGTGGTAGATATCATGGATATAACACATGGATATAACACATTAGATATATCATGGGTATAACACATGGATATATCATGGGTATAACACATTCATTTAACACATGTGGTAGATATCGTTGATATAACACATGGATATAACACATGGATATAACATGTGTATAACACATTCATATAACACATTCATATATCATGGGTATAACATGGAGTAGATACACGTGTTATATCCATGACATGGTTAATCCATGTGTTATATCCATGAAATATCTACCCCATCTCATGTAACCATGTGTTATATCCATGTGTTATATCAATGATATCTACCACATGTGTTATATGAATGTGTTATACCCATGTTATATTTAATGTTTTATACCCATGTGTTATATCCATGATATCTACCACATGAATTATACGCTATGTCATGAATATAACACATGGATATAGCACATATGTAGTAGATATATATCATGGAGTGGGTGTAATTATTTTATTCAATAATGTTTACCTGATGTATTTATCATCTTCACGGCAACACTGACAGAAGGCAGCAAAAATCACAACAACCTGAAAATATTCACAGCAAATACAAACCAAACACAGGTAGACCTTAATTTACTAATTAAATAAAAGCGTAATAGTGTAAGGGAGACAACCCAAAGGATCACGCAATGGCTAGTATATTACAGGCTTATGGTGCAAGTGAGGCATATTATAGGGATGCTTGATTTTCAGCCCGGAACGTCCCGAATTAACAGAATTGCCATAGAGTGACGCGGAAATAAGAACTGTAACATTTATGTTAGATCGTGACGTAATTAAGCTCAATGCATCTGTTTCAGCTGTCCTGGTTGAATGGAATCTGATTAAAACACCGTTTCGTTTTTGTAGTCCAAAATTTCGTTTTACTGGTCTTCATAACACTAGGGTCTGGAAGAGTTGTTATATAACCCGCGTGCTAGTTGAAGTGAGGAATTAGCTCATGAAACGATATGTTTACGGCGACTTCTTGGCTTGCGATGCACGGAACTGTGGGTAAACCACTAGAAAAGTCAACGCTGATTGATTAATCAATGTCTGACTGACGTCATAGGGTTAAAATCAGCTCGTACTACCCTTGACGCGACCTTCCACTACAACCGGTCAGATCTTCAGGTAGAGTAGGCCATCGAAAGTATACAAAAACGAAACGAAATATAGATCTGTATTTTAATCAGATTGGGTTGATTGATCGAGGTGATTTTTTATGCAGTCGACGCATGCGTTGTAGCCCGAAATTCCCATTTTCACTCGATTACCACTATTATTTGAATTAATAGAATATTCAATAGTGCAAGGGAGAAAACCCCTGATACCTGACAAGAGTTAGTAGCCTCTATATTCTAGTATTATGGTATAATAAAAACAACCTGTGGATCCTGGCAACGGATGCTATATTATACTAAAGTCAAGCACAACTTACCTCAACGATAAGGATAAAGACACCAACACCTATTGCCACCGAACTGAATTGATTGAGTGTATCTTTCAACTCAGAGTAACATCCCTTTAATAATAAAATTAAAGATACATTATGGGAGATCAGATAAAGAGTTGACAGTTCGCACTATAATAGTTAAAAACTAGATAATGTAAAGGGTATTTTCCGTACATTTCAGTCAAATTGATCCACTGTGAACCGAGAATTTGCGATTGAATTTTCGGCCTAGCCTTGATCATCATTACTAAAGACAGTACGATAAAAAAACATAGTCTCGATTATTCATTTCATGATTAAATCACGAATGAAAGTTGAGCAGCAAATCGGATCCCAATCCAATAAATACCGTAGGCTAGCAATGCCACCGAGAGTTGATTATGGTCTGGATAAGTTAATTAATGTCTAATTAATTTAGATAACATTTCAAGCCTAAAGAAAGACCTGATTTAGCTCTTGCATAATGTATGTTTAATATGATTAATACAATGACATCATTATTAATGTGACGTCATAATGTATGTTTAATATTTGGTAAAACAGAAGGGTAAAAATGGACGAAATTCATGTTAATTAGCAACTAATCAAATTAAATATATCTGAATGATTACTTATCCTTAAAATAAAATTTGAAAAAGAAGTAGAATTTAGTATCACTATTCGGTGATAATAGCCCCTCAAAAGTATGTTAATAGCTAAAATTTATTTTTTAGATTGTAAGAAAAACTGTTTTGTTTGTAACATTATTATATATATCGTATACGTGTATAAATAAATTAAAAAATTATGTTTTTAATGAATTCATTAAATATGTAGGAAAATTCAGTTAATATTTTCGATAAAATTCAGACCTTTATAAATGGTCTCAGCATTTTGCCAATTTCAAATGTGCTACCGGTTTTTTAAAAAGATATGTATGCACACTGAAATTTCAAGGTAAACATATTTAAAAATCATCTGAATGGGTGTCTGTTTCTAAGCCCTCTTTTAATATTGAAAACATTATCATATTCATTCAAATTCAGTTATATATAGTAAATACTTGAAAGTAGGCTCAGTAGCTAAAATGTGTATAATGCTTTGTCATACTTTCAAGCCAGATATAGTGTGTTTAGATTTTTTATGCAAGTTAAATATTGGTTGTATTGACATTATAAAATTTCCATGAATGTAAGTCTAAATATCGGATAGTGACGCTGGTTTTTTTGCCTTCTAACAATATTTATTTAATCAGTATTACATAATCTAAAGATACATAATTACTGGATCTGAAAACTGTTAGGATTATGTTGAATATATTAATACCCCTTTAAACTCCTCAATTTCTTTATGAAGATGTAAATACCCCTTTAAACCCTGTACTTTCTTTTGTAGGCCTCTGAATATAAGATGAGCTCTACCCTGCTACAACCCTCCATGAATAAAAGACTTTATTGCAAGTCAAAAGACTTTACTGTCAGTAATTTCGGACGGAGGGCCTGGCAAGGACATTGTCAATTCGATTCGTTGGAGTACATGTAAAAGAATCCTTGACAGAAATCGAAATAGGAGTAGGTAATTACCCTGCTGTTTGGGCAGCCAAACCATGCAGAAAAATAGGAGATAAACCCTATCTGTTAAAAGATGTAGCCCCTATCGTGTTTGGAGAAGGAGGGGGGGGGGGATTCAGGAACACCACATTTGATATAAATCTGTTGAAAAACTGTAGCCTCTATTGCTTTTCTTAGGTTTTCAGGGGTTAACTCCGGAACAGAGTTTTGTGGAGCACTGATTATTGATGGAGTTCGTCCTCCCATGAACGTACAATCAGGGGTAATAATCCAGAAATTTAAGGTTCGACATGTGTCCGAGTTGTTTGGGAAATAAACATATATTGTGGGCTTCATCTAGATTGGATAAAAATTGTGACCTGTAGAGTGTCCACAAACAAATGTGAACAATGGTAACAGCATGATACGAGTTGATTATTGGCTTGTCATGTGAATAAATGTCTAATTAATACTTTATATAACATATGTTCGTTAAAAAAGTATTAACATTAGTGTTACTTTGCTCTTATTTTTTGAAAAATTTTCACAAGTTGTTTTCCTTTATTTTGTTAATGTAGAATGGCAATGAACTGCTCTTTTCATTTTCTTTGTTTTATTTGTTTCGTTTGAATTTGATTTATCTGTTTAGTTTTTGATTGTTTAATTTTTGTTAATGAAGTTGATTCTTTTAAACTTCGTTTTTTTATTTTTGAACTCTACTTGGTGTAGGTGTTCATCAGGTAATACCTCGACTGAGTTCAATATAGAGATTAGCCGGTTGATTTATTGGATATAAACCTTTGAATAATAGCGCCTAACAGGCAGCTGTGTTTAATTGTGTTTAATAATGTTCTCCTGATTTTGATTGTTTCTGTGTGTTTGAAGTAAATGTTTGTGATATGTGCTTAGAAACACTTCATGTGTAATGAAGCGCTATATAAATCGAACAATAATAATCAACGACCAAAATCATGTGATCTGGTATTGAGTCAAGTGACGTGGTTTCGAATCCCAGTTTGTAGAGTAGCCTGTCTAACTACGTGGGTTTTCTCCAGGTCCTCCTGTTTACTCCCACTGCTTAAGACCCCTACGCGCAAGCGAATTATTGAAAAAAAATTGAACCATATGGTAGTCCGGAAATGACCTAGTTTGTGTCGAGTGGATGTTACCCCCCCCCCTCTCAATATTGTACTCACAGTAAGATACGCGTTGTCCTCTGTTGGGTTACTTAAACATTCTTCATGTGCCTCAAAATCAATTCTAGGAGCTGCTTTAAAGTCGACATTTTTACAGCAGCCAACAGGAATCTGTTCGTGGGTATTTTTAATACGAAAACAAAAGTCGGTTATATTCCCGTCTTTAAAATCCGCATAGGAATCAATGCCACAGCATCCAAACTAAAAAATAAAATATAATATTTATATCTGTAATAGTATATTTGTTACAGCGTCGTGTAGAGGTTTGGTAATGTAGATGACCAACTTCCTGGTTGTGAGTCCCCAAGGTTCAACTATGAGACAAGGGAAGATATTCTAAATAAAAAACAAATGAAATTCTTTTTTGCTTCAAATAAAGGTAGGGCCGGATTAAACTTGCATGGAGTCCTTCCATCAACAGTCAGAAATGGGGCATATTCTAGTCATTGTCCTTTTCACCATCAGGCCTATGTTACGCCCCGGTCCTAGCTACCCTTATAGACCAGATGACAGCCTCGGGACACAGCTGTGTAGCTCGGGACACAGCTGTGTAGCTCGGGACAGACAAACAAACAACAGTCACAAATATCAGTACATTGTTAATTGTACATCTCTAGGTAATTCCGGATGGTGACCATTCAAATCAACCGGGTTCTGATATATTTAAGATTCGGAGAGGCGCCGAGTAAATCGCTGGCTCGCTAAGTCGACGTTTCGGATTCGATCTCGAAATTTTCAGCGTGGCCCAGCCTTGTCACTGGGTGCAGCACGGAGGGCCTGGGATGAACAGTGTCTAGTCGTTCGGGTGGGATGAAAAACCGAGGTCCAATTTACACATTGACGTGCACATAAAAGAAGCCTAAGAGTAGACCGCAGTGTGCCCAAACCTACACTGTATGTCGTATGCCCGTCTTCATTAGTTTAGCCAGTACAGAAAATTACAATCTGATTAAAATACAGATCTATATTTCGTTTCGTTTTTTTATACTTTCGATGGCCTACACTACATGAAGATCTGACAAGTTATAGCGATAGGTCACGTCAGGGGTCAAAAGACCGACTTATGACCCAATGACGTCAGACATTTGATTAACCAATCAGCATTGATGTTACTAGTGGATCACCCACAGTTCCGTGAAAAACACGCCTAAAGCTCGCCGTAACAGACCGTTTCATTGGCTTATCCCTGACACCATTCAGAACACGAATTAAATAACAACTCTTCCAGATCCAAGTGTAGTAAAGACAAGTGAAACGAAATTTTGAACTATAAAAACGAAACGAAATAGGATCTGTGTTTTAATCAGATCCAAGTGTAGTAACGACAAGTGAAACGAAATTTTGAACTATAAAAACGAAACGTAATAGGATCTGTGTTTTAATCAGATCCAAGTGTAGTAACAACAAGTGAAACGAAATTTTGAACTATAAAAACGAAACGAAATAGGATCTGTGTTTTAATCAGATCTAAGTGTAGTAACGACAAGTAAAACGAAATTTTGAACTATAAAAACGAAACGAAATAGAATCTGTGTTTGAATTAGATTGAAAAAATTAGGACGTTAAACCCCGTTTCATTTCATTTCTCATCTGCACTATCACCAGAGGAATCATGCTGTCAATAGTTGATATCGACTGATTAAGATTTCGTGCCGCGACGGACAATCTAGAACTTTCCCCAAACAATATTTAGCTTTAATATTTACCATAGACCAGATGGTATTGAAAGCCTTTGATGACACATCAAAGCCATTTTCGTTATATTTTCCCAAAGATTCCCTCAGTCCATCCTTTATTTCATTTTCTGCGTTGGTTCCCTTGGTTACAGCCACAGTAACAACAGTAATCTCAGCCACCAGTATTGTCATCACAATTATAGCGTACTGAAATAAATGTCATTAAATATAGCGTACTGTAACAAATGCCATTTATTATAGTGTACTGTAACAAATGCCATTAATTATAGCGTACTGTAGCAAATGCCATTAATTATAGCGTACTGTAACAGATGTCATTAATTATAGCGTACTGTAACAAATGCCATTAATTATAGCGTACTGTAACAAATGTCATTTATTATAGCGTACTGTAACAAATGCCATTAATTATAGCGTACTGTAACAGATGCCATTAATTATAGCGTACTGAAATAAATGTCATTAATTATAGCGTACTGTAACAAATGCCATTAATTATAGCGTACCGTAACAAATGCCATTAATTATAGCGTTCTATAACAAATGTTATTCATTATAAAACAAATAGAGCGTGTAATAAACGTTTTCTATTGTGTTTGGGAGTCGCGGTGGCTCAGTGAGCAAGCCTTTGTCTTACTAACCTGGAGCTTCTATGTTCGATTATAGTGTTCATCGGGGTTTTCCGGCGTGGTTCCGCGCCGAACGGAGGGCCTGGAAAAGGACAACGTATAGTCGTTCGGATGGGACAAAAAGCCGAGGTCTCTTGTACACATTGACATGTGCGTAAAGAACCCTTGGCAGTTGGAATTCAGTTTAAGAGAAGACCTTGTTGCTGCTGTCCTGGCAAAATTGTCATCATTAGACACTGTATTAGCCCAGTCTGGGCTGAACAGTAGGACGTTAAAGCTACATTTTGTTTCACTTTCTGCTTTTTTTTTTACCTATCTTATATTTGTTAAAAATATTATTTTCGTCATATTGTAATAAATGTAATTAATAATTAAAATAAAGTCATATATTGTAAAAAAAAATGCAGTCATATATTGGAATAATCAAAATAAAATTAAAATAATTGTACTTACTGCAACAAGAATTATTTTTGATTTAAAGAAAGCACCGGAAAATCCCAGCAGCGCTACCAGGATAATAAATACACCAAAGACAATCAAACTATAGGTCAGCGTGGTAAAAGCGTAACTCAGATTAAAGTCAGTTTTTTCACTATCATCAATAAAAGCATATTCTATTGGTTCAAAGTTCACTTTAAACACTATTCCTATTATCAATACGGCTAAACCTATTAGCTGAAATAAATAAATAAATAAATAAATATACCAATAAATAAATAAATTAATAAATGAGTAAATGTATGAATGAATGAATGAATGAATGAATGAATAAATAAATAAGACGGATAAGACAGTGCAGGGTCATAATTAATGGATCACAAGAATTGTAAAATTCCAGCAATCTGATTAAAATACAGATCTATATTTCGTTTCGTTTTTTTATACTTTTGATGGCCTACACCAGTGTAGTAAAGACAAGTAACACGAAATTTTGAACTATAAAAAAAACGAAACGAAATAGGATCTGTTACCTACCGTTATATCGAATTTCAACTACCAAGGGATCATTTACGTGCACGACAATGTATACATGAACTTTCAAGGCCATTGCAGGGATCGAACACGCGACCTCCAGACTAACGAGCCAGCGTCTTACACACTTAGCTCACTGTGCACATAACGTCCATTACAGAAACGTCAAACATAGGTAGGGTGACCCATGTACTCACAGAAATACAGTCCACCGCTGATAGTTCGAGACTACCACTGAAGCGTGCACATTCGCCGTGCCGAGACCAACTTTCTGACAGTTTGATACTATAAATAGCCATGGCACGTGCATTTCTCTACAAATCTATCAACTATTACAGCCGTAAAAAATTTATTGTTGACGATTTTGAATAGCAGTTAAATTAAGCTTCTTGGTTATTACAGCAGATTTAGAAATTACGTTCGTTTCATTTTTTAAATCGCTTTATCATTAACTGTACCGTTAAGAGCGGCATCTTTTGGTTTAGTACAAATAATATCTCTGAATCACTCGGGTTAGGCAGGAACATGATACTAGCAGTAGTTTGATTTTACTTTTACAAGCTTCTTAAAACGATTGTTGAGCTACCTAACGTGCTTATTTCTAAATTCAATTTCTTGTTCTAGCTTTCTGTTACGTTTCGTAAAACAGTAGTCTTGATTATCCCGACCTGTCAATCAGACGTAGAATGGTCGATAGACTGGTTAAGCGAGACTAATTTCAAAACAAGGGCACGTAACCTATCTTTTACTCAAAAGTGTCTGGATGTTATGGACGACTCTTGGAACCAGTTTTCAGTCTATTATTTATACATGATTAATGGTCATAGCTTATTAAGTACAACATGATCGTTTATTTAGTGACTATAATTGTGTGAAACTGATTTGAGGCTTGGCATATATATAAATATTGTGGCGTAATTGTCGAGATATATGGAGATATTTATTTATGGTGGGTCACCCTAACATAGGAACACCCAGCGAAACCGCTCACCAGATATATATAACCGTGCGATAGTGATCGTGATTCATCATTATCGAACATGAGTAATGAATACAATATGTAATATGAAACGCTTTAAATCGGATTCTATTAGAAGTTATAATGCGTTTGTCAACATCTAAACAAAGGAAATATTTCCATTTCCTTTGAAAGATTTTATAACATCTAAAAAAAAATCAATATATTAAATTTGCTATATTTAAGTGTTGGTTGTATCTTATGAAAGTATACTGTTTTAGAATAACATCTCACACTTGTATGGAGCTGGATTTGAGCTATAAACCTCTGTACACATCACCAGTATACTTATTATATACTCTTCTAAAAATAGTAGGGGATATTCAGAAACAATACAAAACTGCGGAAATTCACTGTTGTTTTTATTAGAGGTAACCAGTGTATGTTAATAACAGGCCAATTGCCTACACCTGAACATAAACAGTTCATATGGGCGGCTTATCTGACGGCCCCACTTCACTCGCAGATGGATACACTGTCAAAAGTGAAAATGGACATTTTTGATTTTTGTCTTAATAATGAGTAATTGCTTCACAAATCCTCAGACATTCTGCAATTCGTCGTGGCATGCCACTAATCAAAAGTCCAATCACGTTTTGGGGCAATCTGACCTACTCCTCTTGCAGTCTCCCGATCAAATTAAACGTAACACACTAAAGCAAAGATATGCTAAACAGTAAATCTTATGCAAGGACCGATAGGAAAGCAAACATTGATAGGATAAACCAGCAAGCGGCAGTTTTCATCAACCCTTCCTTGAAATGTCAAATTTGACAATGCAGGCGCGGATCCAGGATTTTTTGCAGGGGGGGGGGGGTCTAGGTTGGATAATTGCTTAACTAATTGCGGTGGGGGTAGCCCACCGCCGCGAGCGACGAAGACGCTAAACGTTGTAACGCGGGGTCGGGGGGCCCTCCCCCAGAAACATTTGGTAAATTAGATTCAATTTGGTGCATTCTGACGTATTTCCGGAAGGTAAATTCCAAAATTACAGGTCTAAACATCGTCAATAAAATCGCCAATAAAATGTCCTTAAAATGTTGATGGGATGCTCCCTTCACAGGTGAGGAACACAATATCTTCAGATGGTTGTTCTTAACAAGCTTTATTAGCAGTATCAATTTACTATTAGAGTAACCAGTCCATTTAAATATAGGGAAGTTGGTCGGGGTTTTCCAGAGCACAAACTTTCACAGACGAAAAGTCTATAGACTTGGTTTACTGTTTTCACTTTCAGCCCATAAAAATTAATAATATAGCTTGTAGTAGTTGCTTGGTGTACGAGAAAAAGGAGAAACGAAGGGAGAAAACGAAAGGAGAAACGAAAGGAAGGGAATTCGACGGTTAGGATCCTTGACAATTAGGCTAATTGAATAAATCGATTAATGATGAATTTAGTTTATTGTTAATCTCTAATTACCCGATTTTAAACACACTTGGTGTTACGTCCCTCGCAGCAATTGTGTTAAATGCGCGTATAAAAAAAGTCTTACGAATGACGACCTTTCGGAAGTATTTTACCTGCACTCTCCATCGCTGTAGTAGGCCTACCTTCCACTGTTTCGCGGTAAGGGCATGTTCCAAGTTCACCTAATAAGACATTCTCTTCAGGTATAATAATAATAATAATTATAATAAAACATAAGCGGTGAATATATTATGTATCAATTTTTTTTAAAAATCTTATAAATTCCGCTAGCATATATTTTTTATTTTTTTAAAATTTGATAAAATAAATGACTAGGTTTTTTTTTCTTATCTACGCTGCCGATAAAATTAAAAAGCAAACACAACAATATTCAACGTCAACAGTACGGTATTAAAAAATTGCCGTCGTCAATAGGCGATTTGCCGTGGGGTCAATTAGTCCCGACGGCAATTTATGTGACTATTTGTTTTTGCCCACAATGGAATGAAAGTCATGACCCAACTCAATGTATACAAACTCGCAATTTTTGGGTCAGATTCAGGCTTTTAGATTTAAGTATCTCGGACCCTTCACATTTTTTAAACCTGAGCAGGGGGGCCTGGACCCTCCCCCCCTCTGGATCCGCGCCTGCAATGAGCCCCTCTCACGTGTATGGCGCTATTGCGTGTCGCATGTGCAGCTCAGTGGTTTTTTGGGGCGATAAGTTCTTCATCTGTGAACATACTCTCAAAGCATGTCAAGTGTCCATGACTATTTATCATATCACAACTTGCACAGGTATTTGCATTTCAATATCCCCTACTTTTTTTTGAAGAGTATATTATCCCATGTATACGTCTCCCATCAACACCACTGTATTCATTAGCATCACCGTATACTTCTCACATCAACATCACTGTATTCATTAGCACCACTGTATACTTCTTCCACTAACACCACTGTATTAATTAGCACCACTGTATACTTCTCCCATCAACATCACTGTATTCATTAGAACCACTGTATTCATCTCCCACTATTCATTAGCACCACTGAATACTTCTCCCACTAACACCACTGTATTCATTAGCACCACTGAATACTTCTCCCACTAACACCACTGTATTCATTAGCAACACTGTATACTTCTCCCACTAACACCACTGTACACACCGTCCACTAACACCGCCGTATACATCTTCAATTAACGCCACTGTACCACTGCAGATATATTCCATTAACACCACTGTACAACACTTCCAGTAACACCACTGTAAGCACCTGCAAAACATCCCGGAAATAGTTACATTTTCACAAAATGTAAAAAAATGGAGTTACCTTATCGATATTTTTGTGATATAACCGTGAAAACATGGGCGCCTAATATACAATATTTAATACACAGTTTTAAAATCACTTCCTGGCGTCAGGTTCTGTGTGATCTTGAGTGTCATTACACAGCAAAACATATTCCACAAGGCGGAAGTAATTAAAGTTATTGATTCATATATTACTAAAAGATAAACGTATAGACTGGACTAACCAGACGCATATGACTCCCATTCAAGTTGGTCTGCTCACGTATTTCGCCGAACATAACGGATTAGAAATTAACAATAAGATTTATTTTGAAGATTGAATGTATATCAGTGCTTTTCGACCAATTTGTCCGTTTTAAGGTTCCATAGAATAGAGGTTCAGCCTCTTGAAATATATATTTACTTTGGCTGACTAATCAGGAGTTATCGGGCTAGATTCAGGTACACGTTATAAAACCCTTGCTAGTTGGAACACTAGCACACTGCATGTATCAATCTGTTTCACAGAGGATTACGAAAGTCTTCTAATATCTCTGTAAAAGATGGCTACCTTTAACATGTGACGTCTCATCACGCGGCGTCAATAATTGGCTCAATGGCGCGTGCATTGTTTACATAAGCCCTTACTGATTCGGGCAGAATGGAACCTTTTACTCATTTTAATACCAATTTACACTAAATAGGAAATAATTTTTACCTACAAATACGTCAAACCTCTTTATTCATTTTTCTAACACATAAAAAATAATGTTATAGAATTTAATTTGTCGGAGGAAAAAAATTAATATTTGTGGCTCATTAAGTCGCATCGATGTCATCCTTATCAGTGATTGTCGCGGCCTAGCGAATATTCACTACTGAATACCAGAAGGTTGTACCAGAAGGTCTGTCATCGAGTCAAGTGACGTGGTTTCGATTACCCGCTTGTACATTACAAGCGTGTTTTCTCCGGGTCATT